AGCCAGCTGCTGCCTTGTGCAGACGCATCCACCGTATGGAGCATCCCTCTGCCATGCTCACCGGCACATCGGTCTGCCTGAGCACACCAGCAGTAAAAACAGACTGAGGAAATACCCAAAGGGAAAACAGAGTGCATCTAAAACTCCAGGAGAAAATGAAATTTGCAGAATGCCATCTCTTCCTGGGAAAACCCTCATAGCTCATCAGCATGCTTTACCTAGCAGGCACGGAAGGGGCACACACATGCCTAATTTAGCTTTGCAAATATGTCAGCGGGCACAGGATGGAAATCTACCTAAAGTTTAAGAAACAGAAAGAATTTAGAAGATCCTGACTTTTAAACGCAAGAAATATAAACCAAAGGTGCCTGTAGGGGCCCCAGCTCTAGCCCTATAACTCCTCAAGCACAGCACTGCGGGACTCATCAGCATGCTTTACCTAGCAGGCACGGAAGGGGCACACACATGCCTAATTTAGCTTTGCAAATATGTCAGCGGGCACAGGATGGAAATCTACCTAAAGTTTAAGAAACAGAAAGAATTTAGAAGATCCTGACTTTTAAACGCAAGAAATATAAACCAAAGGTGCCTGTAGGGGCCCCAGCTCTAGCCCTATAACTCCTCAAGCACAGGCACTGCGGGAGTGGCCGCCTTCTACCAGCTATGGTTCATCTAAATTGGTCATTTGAGTGCTGGTGTCAGTGAAGTGAGAGAGAGACACAGCTTTTGAGGGTGACTCGGCCCATCCCTAGTCAGGAATTTAGTCTGATTCATCTCATCATGAAAGTAGGCACCTCCATTCACCTGGGATGAATTTTACAGCTTAAATCAGGTGAAGCTAATCCCATCCACGAACCCTTTCCAGATTAGAAAGCTTTGAAAGTAGTCTGCAGTTGTAGATCCATTTTGGGCGGGAATCATCTCCCCTCTTTAGGACATTCAGAAATCAGATATCCAAGTCAGAAGTAGTTGCCTTCGGCTTGCTTTGTCATCAGCAGAGAAGAATGGGCACCTCTGGAGGGAGATTCATCTGTTTTAAGAGAGCTGGTAGGCTGGTTGGCTGAATCATCTTCTGGAAATGCTCACTGCCTTCTGTTAAGGCAGGTCACTGTTAACAAAAACTGCTTAAAAATAAGAAAAAAAGGCCTTTTGGGAATACAGAAAATATTTTATGAGCTAGAAATACAGGGGTTTGCTAGCAGGTGGAGAACCTGGGACTGATTCAGTAGTTGCAGATGCACTGCTGGAAGCACTCGACAGAAGTGCAGTGGAGGTTAGCCCAAAGATGACTTACACATGTGCTGCACAAATAAAGCCCCACAGGTTCTCTGATCTCGGACAAAATAAGGAGTGTGGCTCCCAGAGTAGCCTCTGAGGATGGGACTTCAAACACTGTTCAACCAGGCTATTGGGGCAGTGTTGGATGCAGCTTCACAGGGTTGACACCTGAGTTGAGGTGCCTACCTGGGAGCTGGCTGTCTAGCCCTGCATGTATATGTATGTATGTATATACATACACACAGAGAGAAGTCAAATGGACTGACATGGAAGGAGCTGCTGAAGCTCACTTTATGCTCCAGCATACAGGTTAAAAGAGCAAAGAGATGAGGATGGTTGCACAAGAAAGACTAATTTTCTCCACTGAAAGCACTGGGTTGGTTGATGGGAGGAGAAGCTGCCGTGCTGTGCCATATGTAATTCATATTGCCAGTTATTCCAGGCTGAGCCTGTGCTTGTCCACTCAGAGTTAGGAAATTATGTTTGTAAAAAAAGCAAAGCAGTTTCACCTGAAATAGGTATTTCTGTATCAAAAGTTCATTGGCATGTGGCATAACAATTTAGTTTTGTGCCCAGGTACTGTGTAGGTGAAGCTGGTGGGAGGTGTTGGTTGCCCTATCACTCAATAAATGCATTTTCGTTAGCTACACGCTAACTCATGTGTAGGTGAAAATGGTGTATGCTCTACTTTTATGGATGATGTGGTGCTAACTTGGCCAAAGTTTTCCTATCTTTTCATTACTAAATTGCATGCAAAATCCATATATAGCAATCAGAAATGATAGCGTGCTGCACACCGAGCAATAAGGAACTGTCATCGTTAAAGTGCTTTGCCCTCTTCTACATCTTGCTGGATGAAGGGTTTTGCTGGATGAAGGGTTTTGGGTTTGCTTTTGTATTACTCTTAACACAAGATTGAGACAGCGCTACGGCTTTAGATATGCTTGTAACATCTTTTAAACCTAAGTAATTGTATTAATTTGTCATAGAGCTCTGTAATTTCATAATGAAAGAAGACAAATTAAAGGATATTTGTTTCTATTGACAGAAAATACATCCTTTTGAAAAGCAGCACAGACTTTTTAGATGCAGAATACGCATAGATGCAGTTAATTACACAACCAATTTTCCTGCGAAGTTATGCTTCATTTATTTCTGAGTAGTCCCTTTAAATTTAATAGGCCTACGTGTTAGAATAAAATTAAGCAGATGAATCTTTGCATGTCACAGCCTTAGGGGGCCAGTATATACCAGCCAAAAGGTATAATACAGCTCAGTGCTGTATATACGGGTTATGACTGCTCTTTTAAAAATAGATTCCTGGGTTAGAAAAGAGGATGGGACTGAACTGTTTAAACTAAAAGAGAACATTGGCTTAAGAACAAATGGACATTAACTGCCCATGAATGTATTTAGATTGGAAATGAGAAGAACATCTTTAACCATCAGAAGGTGAGAACATTCTTCTAATAGGAAAAACAGATATAGAGGCTGAAACTAGCTGTGAGATACACCTTGGTTGGTTTAGCACAGTCTCATGATGTGATGCCTTGTGGCAGACAGCAATGGAGCGCGATGACCCAGGAGCTCTGCTCCGGCCATCTTCTGGTTCTAGTATAACACAATGAGTACTTTTTATGTAAATAACCTCCATGGTTCTTCACAACGAGTGCTTGGATCCACACTAATCACCATCGAACTCATTATGTTCAAGCACTTCAACATGAAAGCTGTGAGGTAGAATCAGATCCTCTTCTGCAGAGGTAATTGGGCCAGTGGAAATGACTGTTGACCTTCAGTGACTGCAGCAGGAGGTGGGAAGGTGAAGGCGCTTGCAACATGTCCCTGAGCGTAAGCAGCATCAAAGAGAACATATTAATCAAAGGAGGAACAAAAGAGGGCAGAAGAATGACTGATCTGAGAACAACACTGTGTCTTGCTCATTAGCTGGAGAGTCAAATTGCAGCAAACATCCTCAGCAGTCACAGACTGTGAAAACCTGGGGGACGATGCACAGTGAAAGGTGGTTGTGAAATAGGTAAATTAATGTCTAGATGCACAAGTAGCAACATTGGAAAGAAAATGAAAGTGATGGTACCTGATCCTTGAAGATGTCAGGTGTTTGTACCCCAAGAGTGAAACAAAGGCTTTTCTGCGGAAAGTATTTGAATTCTGCAATGAAAACTATTCCAGATTTTTGAAAAACACATCACCCCCTGATGTAGTGAGTGTATTATTCCCCTGTGCAGTGCTGATAAGGGCCCATCTGGGCTCTGCTGTGAGGAGGAATACCCTGAACATGAGCCTCCCACATCCCATGGGCACGGAGGACCTTCACAGGCTGAAGCTATGGTGATGATTTTCCTCAAGACAGAGAAATTTGGAAATGCTGTCAGAAGCCCTTCCACATATCCAATAAATTTGATTAAAATCTGAAAAAAAATTCATTATACTAATAATAAGCTCTACAACTTGTCAGCCAGATTACATTAGTGTACTCTTAGGTATCATTAATGTCAGAAACAAGAGGCTGGACTTGAGTGCTGTCAGCCTGCTCTGCTCCACTGCCTTTTGGTATTAGCACTGGCTAGGGACAAGTACTGAGAAAGCAATTAAGGGTTATCTTGTTTCTTACAGTCTGGCTTGGAATTAGCTGCTTCCCATGGCTGCCGTTTCACTGGCTGTTTGGTGGCTGCAGAGCTATTCCTTCAGGAAAGCAAACAGATGGCTTTTTCCTTGCACCCAAAATGCTCCAGCCTCTATTATTCAGGTGCCACACGACTGCAGCAAAACAAGGCAGTTGCTCATACAAGATGGTATGCTCAGAAACAGAGAGATGCTGCTTCTGGTCTTGTCGAACGTGGGTGTCCCACGATCTTCATACTTAAGGTGTGTGAAAATTCAAGGGTATTACTGCAATGGCTTTCTGGGATGTTCTTCACACAAGGAATAGAGAGGGCTTTGCAAGAATCAACAAGGAATCAAGAGAAAAAAATAGTGTCTCCACGAAAGAGACTGTAAACTGTAGAAGCCATCTTCTGTAAGTACTGAGGTTGCCAAAACCAACCTGCATTGCAATTACACACCTACAGCTTCTACCCACCTCTACAAATGGCAGACAGACTTGAGATTCAGAGACTGTCCTTGGATTGTGGAGTTTCCTCTTCATCTCTTGGGGGGAGCTGCCTCTTTTGTGACTGTTTCCCGTTCTTTTCCTTTGGAGGTACACTCCCCTGGAGAGGGGACATGGTGGCTGCAGGAGGCTCTTGGGGGAGTCCGTGGTCTGGGAGCTGCTCAGTGTCACCTCCCCTCCCACATCATCTCCATGTGGGGGGCACCTCCGTCACCCTGCAGCCTTCTACCCCGACCAGTGGAGCAGGAGCAGCAGCTCCATGGGGCTGTGTGATTTCAGGAGGGGCTTGCCACAGGCAAGCCCAGGGAGGCTGTTTGCTTTTGTGCTGCAGCAAGCCACAGCACACCTTGCTGGGGGGGTATTTTTGAAGGGGTGATGTGGCGTAGCAGTGGGGCTGGTGCAGAAACTCCTGACTCCATCCCCTGCCTTTTGCTTGGGGTGGGAGGTGTTTGCAGTGTGCTGTCTCTCTCCTGCCAGCCTGGCAGCAGCTTTCCTCCAGACCATTTTAGGACTGTGCTAATCCCCTAAATTTAACCAGTGATGTCAAAGGCTCATGTTAGCTCCCTGCACCAAGTCCTGCGCCCACACACGCCGACGTGAGCCAGGAATAACTCCACCACTACGTAGATCTGAATCCCATCCCAAGCAATGCCGCCTGATGCCCGTTTTCATAACACAGACCCCTGAGCCATCGCTGTGCAGGTGGAGCAGCACCAGAGCTGGGGGGGAAGGAGATGCCGGGGCTGGGCAAATTCGCCACAGGAGAGCTGGATACAGCCAACAGGGTAAGGAGAGACCTCTCAAGGTAAGCTGGAAACGGAGCGGTGTTATTTATTGATCCAGCGGTGCCCGGAGAGCAGGCGTGGGGACTGCTGTGTTTGGTTTGGCTGCTGAACTGACAAATTGGAGGAGGAAAGAAAACCCACTCTCCTGCAGTTTATATGGATGTTACTTTTTGTTGTTGTTGTTGTTGTTTTTGTCATTAAAACTGCAAAGGAAAGAAGAGAAAGTTCTGTTCAAAACAAAATGTTGGATGGGGCTGGAGATGACTGTTTCCACTTTGGGTGCCGGTAAAGAAAAACAAGGGAAACAAAGGGCTCATTTCACAAAAATGCTGGCAGGGTGGCAGCCCCCCCGGCCAGCCTCCCATCCACCCCCCTCCTTTCCTTCCTGCCCCCGAGAGGCAGCAGTGCAGCACCCCACCAGTGTTCGGGACACAGACAAGCTCTCCACCCAGCTCCTCCCTGAGCTGCCCTGCAAGGTGGTGCCCAGAAAGGCTTTCCTAGGAAAAAGTGTCTGTTTTCAGACAGAATTTGCCAGCCACAGTGGGATGGCCTTTCTCATCCCGTTGCCTGGTGTGACCCTCTGTCTCCATTTGCCCTGCTCTTTTGGGGGAGTGCAGTGCTTGCAGCTGGGCAGATGTTTAGCAGAAGACAGGCCCCAGTGTGGAGACCTTTCCCCCACCAGTTCAGAAGAACTGGTGAGCAGGAAAAGCTGAGAGGAATGGGAGTTTTGACATGATGGTGTTTCATTGGGACATTGTCGTTTGTGAGGATGGACTCGTTTGGTGCTATTAGGAAAAAGTGGTTACAGCCATGCGTGGTGTTTTGCTGCTGGGGCAGGACATGGGTGGGCAGAAGGCTTGAGCCAAGTTAGCACAGGACAACCATCACCTCCGCCTTTCTGTCTGGCTGCAGGCTGTTACACACCCACTGAAACCTTTAGCCCTTCTCATCTCCCAGAGCCAAGTGGCAGAGAGCAGCCGCAGCGTGGATGGTGCAATCTTGGCTCAGGACATGCAGACATCATGGGAAATGTGTGGAGAACATTCCCTGGGAGTAAACCAGCCTGAGCTATGGCTGGGAAGAAGCACTTTTCTAGCTTTATCCTTTCTACCCGACTTCTCAGGAGGACCAAATCTCATCTTTATATTTTTTTGATTTATTGATTTTGTTGGGAAAGGAGTTAGAGCCTGAGATCGTAAGCAAAGGGTTAAGGGTGTGGGACGCTCAGGTCTGAGATCCGCATTTGAAACAGGCCATCTGAGGTCCCACCATCGCTCTGCCCTAACCACTAGTTGCTGGCACCTCCCAGGTGGCTTTTCCACACATGGACTAAAAATTCCAGCCTAAGAAACTTTTCCTGGCAGAAGTTTTGTTGAAAGTGGTACATTCCCCAAAGGAGGGGAAAAAAAAGGATTAATTGCTATTTTCCAGGGAAATATCAATTTCCCTGGCAATTGGGAGGCAGCAGGGCGGGCGCAGGGGCCGTGGGAGCTGCTGCTGACCCCCTTGAGTGCAATGTCGGCTCTTCCCTGGACAGGGAGCAGCTCTGGGGCCTCAGTGTGTCCTGGCCACTGCTGACACAAATGACAGCCCTTTGGAAAACCGTGGAGGCCAGCGTGTGGGCTCCAGTGCCTGGGAAAAAAACAGCAGTGGAAACCCCACCGGCACAGCCCAAGCCGCAGACAGCCAAAAATTAGCTGTTATAGCTTGTTCATGGGGGAAAAGAGGTAGATTTGGTCTCCTTCATTTCCCATCCAGGGCACATACGCAATGTTTCATCCTTCCTGAAAAAATCTTGGAGAAAAAGCCTAATTCTTGGCTTTTTAGGTAACCCAAGCTGTATATCCAATGTGGTTCACTGTCCCCATAGGAGGGCAGAAGGCAGCTTTGCAGAGGACCCTGCCTGCTCAGTGGGGAGGAAAGGAACTGAGATATGGAAGGAATCAAGGAGCACCAGTGGGTTTCTTTGAGCTGTAGTGATGGCGAGCTTGGGGTACGTGGTTACTGGGAGGAAGGAGGAGGGAAAAGGGAAAGGGCAGCCTCTGTCACACCATCTGTTGGGGAAGAGCCATGGGATTGCTCCATGCCCTAGAAGAAGGTGCCTCCAATTTGCTCAGACCCCCCGGGCACACTTCCTGTGTGTGGGTTGCAGAAAGAACAGAAAAAGGCTTGAGAGCAGTTGTTTTCTTTGGGGGGAGGGACTCAGGCAAAATTTAATGCATTTAATAGAATTTAAAGCTTATCCTTCATTTATGAGTGGTAGGAAAAAAACCACAAAACCTCTGAAAAGAGTTCATGTCCAAGTTGTCTCTGATTAGAGAATCACAGTGACCAAAGTGGGTAGGATTGACCGTTACGGTGAGCAGCCTGGTAAAGCCACAGGAAAGTTGTTTAGTTTGTTGGCAGCATCACAAACATGTTGGTGTTAAAGGAGGTGTCTTCTTGGCTATTGAGAAATGTAGGGCAGTTATTGTGTATCATACAGCAAAAAGATAGAGCTACCCCCATACACTCACTTTGTTGCAACTGGGGGGTCTGGTCCACCATCTGTTGAAGTCAACAGGGAGAACATTGCTGACCTGAGGAGGTCTCTCTTTGCCCCACACCTGGAGCTGTTTCCATTTGAGAAGTGCTACCCACCGACATTGGGTTGCTGATGAATTTTTCAGTAATGTGAATGAATTTTTTCTGTGTGAAAGTAATAATTGTCTGTATATTACCTCAAGGGATGATTAAATCACCCAGTGTCTCAGTCTCCAGGATGCAGTTGGACACATCCTGTTAGACGCTGTTCTTCCAAAATTGACCTTAGCAGACTTCCTTTATGGTTGTTTCTCACCGATAACTCATACCGGTTACCGGCATCACTGTGTTCGTCAGAGTCTCCCATGAATCACCAGACCACGGGGTGGATAATTGTTACTTTGGTTCCTTGCTGAGAGTTCAAATAACATGCACAAATCAAAAGCCCCTTATTGCTACAAAACGCAAGTCTAAAGAATACTCAAGCAGTAATGTGAAAGGAGAAGAGGAGCTGGTGTGCTTCACATTTCAGCTGGAACAAATGCCGCTGCAATGCTGATATTTTTATGGTGGAGAAAGTTTTGTTTTCTTAAGCAGCAAGTAGACCTGGCTGAAAAACGGCATTTCTCTTTTATGAGATACTTAGAAGTTTCACCTTTTTGTTTTGTTCTAATGTGGAGCAAAACCAAGGTCTTCTCTAGTTTTTCACAAGAACTGAAGAGAGTGTGGCTGGGGCTTGGTGACAGGGACTCACCTCCCACCGTGCCATGTCTGAGACTGGTGGCCAAGCCCTTGCTCAGCGTAATTAGTGGTGGGGGCTTATAATTGTGCCATCCTCATGCCCAGTGAGGCACCCTGGCTCCTCCCATGCCAGCGGGCAGAGGGGACCCTGCATCAGGCGGGGCTGAGACCTGAATGCATCCAGGTCCTCCTGCAATTAGAGGAGGGACCTGCAGAGGATGCGGGGCAGGAGGTGACTGCAGCACCTCACTGCACAGTTCATAGGGAAGAGCAGGCAGCCAGGAGAAAATCAGGAGAAAGTGGCTGATGGATGCATTTCTTTGACCCCAGTGGCAAGACATTAGGTGTCTGTGCCATGACTGACCCTGGGGGCAGAGATCATACCCTCATAAATTGGCACTGGACTCTCAGGGGTAAGGAGACTTATTTCTCTTAGAGAAAGGAGGAGGGAGATTTATTTCTCTTCTCCCCACCACCACAGCAGGACTTTCACTCATACTACGCTGCTGCGGTAGACACAAGCAAGCTTGTGGCTTACTGTCATCTCAAGGTCCCACTTGGTCTGCTCTGTAAATATCTGTGCTGGTTTTGGCTGGGATAGAGTTAATTTTCTTTATAGTAGCTAGTATCAGGCTAGGTTTTGATTTGTGCTGAAAACAGTGTTGATAACACAGGGATGTTTTAGTTACTGCTGAGCAGTGCTTACACACAGTCAAGGTCTTTTCTGCTTCTCACACCACCCCACCAGCGAGTAGGCTGGGGGGGCACAAGAAATTGGGAGGGGACACAGCTGGGACAGCTGACCCCAACAGACCAAAAGGATATTCCACACCATATGACGTCATGCTCAGCATATAAAGCTGGGGGAAGAAGAAGGAAAGGGGGGATGTTCGGAGTGATGGCGTTTGTCTTCCCAAGTAACCACTACACGTGATGGAGCCCTGCTTTCCTGGAGATGGCTGAACACCTGCCTGCCGATGGGAAGCAGTGAATGAATTCCTTGTTTTGCTTTGCTTGCGTATGTGGCTTTTGCTTTACCTATTAAACTGTCTTTATCTCAACCCACAAGTTTTCTCACTTTTACTCTTCTGATTCTCTCCCCCATCCCACCAGGGCGGGGGGGGGGAGGAGTGAGCGAGCAGCTGTGTGGTGCTTAGTTGCTGGCTGCGGTTAAACCATGACAATAGCCCAGCCTACCCAAGCAAGACTTGAGTCTTCTCTCTTCCACCCATGTGAAACCATCAACGAGCATCCGTCTGTGCATCTGTCCAACATGCATGCCACAAGGCCAGGTAGGTGGTTGGCCGGGACCTGGAGGCTCCACACCAGCACCTCCCGAGTGCCAGTGTCTTTCACTGATGGAACTGGGGCTGGGATGCCCAGCAGCCCCGCTCCTGCAGCCCAGGCAGAGGCACGCTGGGTGCCGGCTGAGCTGGGAGTGAGTACAGGCTCACCCTCAGATGGTGAAATACGGGACTCGGGGAGATCAGAGCTGTGTGTGGGTGAGCCGCAGGGATCAAAGGTGCTGGGTTAACCCTGAACCAAAGGAGGATGGATTAGAAGCCAGACCAGGTATGGGATGCCATATCCCCTATATGCAGCCAGATAAGGAAGGAAGGATAAGGCATCCTTTACATGGGCCACTGAGGTCTGGTTTTGCCATGTAACTCCTCACACAATCGCCAACACCAACACCCCCTTACCAACCCCTTTTCTGCTCTTGTCTGATCCCGGGGAAGCCATTCGATGAGATGGC